GGGAGGAGGAGGACAGGAAGAAGGGGAGGAAACAGGAGGAAAGAGGAGGGGAGGGAAGGGGAAAAAGAGGGAAGGGGAAGAAGAAGGAGGAGGAGGAGAAGGAGGAGGAGGAGGAGGAGGGGGAGAAGGAGGCAGAAAGAAGAAGGAGCTGGGAAGGTGGCTCAGTGGTAGAGCACTAGCCCTTGCATACGTGAGGCCCTGGGTTCGATTCCTCAGCACCACATAAGCAAAAAGAGCCAGAAGTGGTGCTGTGGCTCAAGTGGTAGAGTGCTAGCCTTGAGCTGAAGAGCTGAGGGACAACGCCCAGGCCCAGAGTTCAGGCCCTACGACTGGATCCCCCCCCCAAAAAAAAAAGAGAAAAAGAAAGAAGAAGAAGAAGAAGGAGGAGGAGGAGGAGGAGGAGGAGGAGGAGGAGGAGGAGGAAGAGGAGGAAGGTGAGCAAAGGGGAGAAATGGGGAAGGAGGGAAGAGGAGGGAAGGGGAAGAAGAAGCAGATGAAGCAGAAGCAGAAGAAAAGCAGATGCAGAAGCAAGAAGGAAGAAGAAGGAGGAGGAGGAGGAGGAGGAAGAGGAGGAAGAGGAGGAGCAGGAGCAGGAGGGGCAGGAGCATGAAGGAGGAGGAAGGAGGAGGAAGAAGAAAGAAGAGAGGTGGAGGAGGAGGAACAAGAGGAGGAGGAGGAGCAGGAGGAGGAGGAAGAGGAGGAGGAGGAGGAGGGAGGAGGAGAAGGGAGAAGAAGAAAACTAGCTGGGCACCAGGCGCTCACACCTTTAATTTTAACTACTCAGGAATTTGAGATCTAAGGTTCCCTGTTTAATCTCAGTCTTGGAAGGGATGTCCAGGAGACTCCTATATCCAATCAACTACCAAAAACTGAAAATGGAGCTGTGGTCAAGTAGTAAAGCACCAGCATTGAACACAAAACTACAGGACTGACTCCAGGCCCTGAGTTTAAGCCCCAATACCAGCACACACACACACACACACACACACACATACACACACACGTGCGCGCGCACGTGCGCACACACACACACACACAAGCATGCACGCACGCACCCACGCATGCACACAAAAAAACCCACTGGTAATTGGAGAAAGGCAGCTAAGTAAATGTCTGCTTTTCTATTGCTTTGAGTGATTAAACCTAAAGCTGTAACAAACTATAATGGTAAATGAATATAAATGTAACAAATATAGATGGCTTTTCTGTGGCAAATGAGCCACAGAAATCTAGTGTTAGAGTAGAAAAACCCGCCTAATATGAATGTGACTGGTTATATAGTAACAAAGCCCAATCTTTTAATTAGAAGTCTTCATCTTTACAATGACTGATTTAAATGAACTATAGTTGATTGTTATTGCTAATACTCAAGGTACATATAGGCTGAAAATCTTGACTAATGCTATCCATAAAACATCCATTATTAGTTCTCATCACTAACCAGCTAATTAGACACAGTAAAATTTGAAGATTTCTCCCCCTTCCCCAATGTACTTAGAACAACTTCTTTCATCAAGTATTTCCCAAAATGTAAGGAAGTGTAAGCCCTGCCCACAGCACAGGGTCACTGGCTCCGTTCCTTCTCAGGGACGAGAAAGGGACCCTGAATCTGTTCATCCTGCTCATGTGGTACTAAGGAATTGAACCCAGGGCCTCATACATGCTAGGGAAGCACTAAGACCCTAAGCCACATTCTCAACCCCTTCACCTACCTTCTTGAGCCCCACAAACTCATTCTCGGCTGCTGTGTGCTTGTTTACCTCATCTTCATACCTGGAACAGAGATGAAGATGAAGATATCCATCACAGGTTTAGATGAGGGTCTCAGATACTCATGTAAATCTCAGCCAGAGGCTGCTTCACAATCATGTGCAGGATGCCTTGCTGGCATCACCTTGAAATCTTTTATCTCTGTGTGTGTGTGTGTGTGTGTGTGTGTGTGTGTGTGTGTGTGTGTGTGTGTGTGTGTGTGTGTGTGTGTGTGTCCTAAGGCTTGAACACTCAGGGCCTGGGCATTTTCTCACTACAACTTTGAGTTGCAGTGCCATTTCCTGCTTTTTTGGTAGTTAGTTAAAGAGTCTCATGAACTTTCATGCCTGGGATGGCTTTGAACCATAAGCCTCAGACCTCAGCCTCTTGAGTGGTTAAGACTACAGGTATGAGCCACCAATGCCAGGCTAAATCTTTATCATTCATTTAAACAAATTCCTACAGTGACAGTTTGCACCAAGCCCTGAAAAGTGTATGGCTGTCCTTCCTGGAGACTTTTCAGAGCTCAGAATATCACCTTCCCCTCCTCTTCTTCAGCTTACCCTGGTGATAAACTGCAGTGTGGACGTCCTGGAGAAAGATATGGAGAAGTCCACACTAAAGCTACCAGCACAACTATGTTTATTGCAGCATTATTTACCATAGCTAAGATATGGAACCAACCCAGATGCCCCTCAGTAGATGAATGGATCAAGAAAATGTGGTATATATACACAATGGAATTCTATGCCTCCATCAGAAAGAATGACATTGCCCCATTTGTTAGGAAATGGAAAAACTTGGAAAAAATTATATTAAGTGAAGTAAGCCAGGCCCAAAGAAACATAGGCCCCATGTTTTCCCTTATATCTAGTATATGTATGAGTCAAGCGGAAAAGGTCAGATAATGTGATGTTAGGAAAATGAACCCTTAGATATATATTTTTTAGTTTTTTCTTTCATGCATGTGTTTCTAACGCATTTATAAGATTATTTCTTTGTTGCTTTGTATGTCCCTCCTCCACAGTATAACCCCTGCTTTCACTATATTTGATGTCAGTATAACTTGTGGAGGAGATGGGGAAAAACAAATCGTTTAAGGATACAGGTGGACCTGTTGCAACAATGAGAAGTACAAGTTGTCATGTCCAAAACGAGCTTTACAACGTCGATGCGGGGGGGGGGGTGTGCCGGGGGGGGGGGGGGAGGAGAAGGATTGGGATGGGGGGGGAGGGGGGAGGCTGGGAAGGGATGAGAAGGGTAAACAAAGGAGGTGGCTGCAATGCTTGGTAAGAAATGTATGCATTATCCTGCCCATGTAATTGTAACCCCTCTGTACAGTATGTTCACAAATAAAATAAAATAAAATTTAAAAAAATAAAAATAAAAAAATGAATTAATACAAAAAAAAAGATATGGAGGAGACCCATTGCTTATCTGGGCTCTTTGGTCAGCTTTATAATGTACAAGGTACAATGTACAATGTGCATCCCGCCTGATGTTTTAGTTTCAGTTAATGGATGTTCAATTTTCCTTAGAAGAATTTGGGATGTGAATGAGCCTGGGCCTTCTGAATGCATCAAGGCTATAGGATTCCAGCTTATTAGAAACTAGAACATCCCACCCTGAAGTTAAGACTTCATGAAGACTGAAGAGCAGGAACCCTATCGAAGCAAAGGTGTTTCTAGGTAATGTGAAATTTGAGATGCTCATGAATTCCCAGAGCCGAGCATGAAGCTGAGTGGCCACTAATGTGTGCAGTGGCATTGGAGCAGGTGTCCCATCTCCACGGGGCCTCAAGCATGCCCACAGCACACTCTCCCACTTTGAGAAGCCCAGTTCACACACACACACACATTCACACACACTCACACTCAAACACACTCACACACTCAGCAGAGACCTCAGAGCTGCTGTTGCAGGGGATTGGACAGGGCTCTGGCTCTCTGCCTATACTGCCCAGAAACTAGGGAACACTTGGACTCCAGGAATCAGCCCCACACCAGTTGATTCTCAATATGAGATACAGGATTATGCATATTTGACAAGTTTCTAGGGTGACACTATATGTGAGGGCTCCCCATTCACAAGGACTGTATATTCTCTATATCTATGTAGGCTAGGATTGGAGGGGCCCTTTTAGACATATGAAAAACATAATCAGCCATATAATGTGTCATTTCCTCCTTGTTACCCTCTCTGCTTGGTCATGGATCACTCAGCAAACCCATCAAAGAGGATGAACTGAAGGTGCAGTCAGAAGCAGTTGAAATCCCAAATCAGGACTATGCCTGCTTACTATTTACTTTCCCAGAAGGGGAAAATCCCCTATTAGGCCCCTTACTTCTTCTTGAAGTCTTCCATCAGGTCCTGCATGTTCTTCGCTTCTCCCTCCAGGTTTTCCCTCTCCCCTAGAAGTGAATCCAACCGCTTGTGCAGAAAGCTGATGTAGGACTCAAAGAAAGGCTCCAAATTCTTGGGCCCCGAGCCAGATCGGGTGGCCTGCTGCTGGAGCAGTTCCCACTTCGTCTCCAGAACCTTGTTTTGCTGTTCCAGGAAGCGCACCTGCATCAAGAGAAGAAGGATAGGAGACCCTTGAGGATCAACTATTCCAAAAAGTGGGAAGGCTGGGCATTAGTGGCTCACATCTGTAATTCTAGCTACTCAGGAGGCTGAGATCTGGGGATTATGGCTTAAAACTAACCCAAGCAGAAAATTCCATGAGACTCTTTTTTTTTTGGGTGGGGGGGGGAGTCCGGTCGTGGGGCCTTAACTCTGGGCCTGGGCGCTGTCCCTCAGCTCTTCAGCTCAAGACTAGCGCTCTACCACTTGAGCCACAGAGCCACTTCTGGCTTTTTTCTTTTTTCTTATGTGGTGCTGAGGAATCGAACCCAGGGCCTCAGGCATGCAAGGCAAGTGCTCTACCACTGAGCCACCTTCCCAGCACCCCCCCCCCCCCATGAGACTCTTATCTCCAAATAAGCACCAAAAAAAGCTTGAAGTGGAGCTGTGGCTCGAGTGGTAGAGTGCTAGCCTTGAGCACAGAAAACCCAGATCCTGAGTTAAAGCCCTGTGACCAGCACCCCCCTCCTCAAAAACAATTCTTTTCTAAAAGGTAGAAATGGCAGCAGACCCAGTTCTTCAAGCCACAGTTGTCTCTCTGTTCTGGAACTTAGGATAAAGGTTATAAAAGAGAGAGCTAGAATTCATTGAGGGCTAATACTCTATCTGCCATTTTCCCATATACCTCTGAACAGGTGGATAAGGAAACCAAGACTCAAAGAGCTCAAGTTGCCAAAAGGGAAATCAATACAAAAGAAACATGAAGAGTCAAACCCAGGCCTTCCTTTGGATCCAAAGGATCCCTAGGGATCCTTTGACACACATCCAGAGGCATTCAGCATGAAGTTATTTTCAGTTGTATTTTTGGTGTATGTTTCTCTCACCACCACAAGGAAAATGAAAGCAGTCAGCAAGGTCGAACTTTTCCTTTGCGATTTCATGCCGAAAAGCCTCCTTTCAGCCACACATCTTGCAGCTGACCTATGTTCACTTCTAGTCCTGGGCTCCTTTCCCACACTATTCTCTGCCTCAGCCTGGACAGCTGGACAGAACCTCACTGAAGCGGACAGTATCCTTGGGGGATACAGTCAGCTGTCAGTACTCACCATGAAATTGGTGCCAATGCAAGACTGGTTACCAGCTACATTGGCTTACCAAACAAGTGCTTGGTATTGTATTGGTTAGGAGCTAAAACCCCATTCTTCAGAGCTGCAAGCAGGTTTGAACCCTCAGCTCAGCTCACCTCTCCAAGACTAAGGATCTCGCTCCCATTTCACAGCTGGGAAAACAAAACTCAAGAGAAACAGAGGCACACTTGCTGTCCTGGAGAAAACAGGGCCAACCAGGCCAAGAGCCAGACAGTCCAGCCTTCAAGTGTGGCAGGTCTCACTGACATCTTCCTGTCCCAAGAACTAGCCATCAAAACCCTCCACTGTGCCTTCCGGCTTCACTCTCACCTTATCAATGAAAGAAGCAAACTTGTTGTTGAGGGTTTTGATCTGTTCCCGCTCCTGAGCCTTCACTTGCCCAATCTGGGGGTCAATCTCCACATTGAGGGACTGCAGGAGGCTCTGGTTAACTGTCACTTCCTGGATTCCCCCAGGGGGACAAACAGCAGCAAAGCCATCAGACCCCCCAAAGCCACCAGCTCCCCCAAAGCCTCCTCCCATTCCTCTGCCACTGCCAAAACCACCTCTATAGCCACCTCCAAAACCACTACCGCAGCTACTATGCCCTCCACCAAAGCCGCCAGCCTGGGAGCCACCAGCCGCCACACTCATGGAGATGCTCTTGTTTCCACCCAGGTTGTAGAGGCTGCGACTTCTAAAGCCACCTGCTCCACTCTGGAGCCCACAGGCCCCTCCACTGGCTCCCTTGGAGCGGGCCACGCAGCTCATCCTGCCACCACCACCGCTGCTGCTGCTGCTGCTGGAGACCATGGCTGAGCGGCCAGAGAAGCCTTGGCTCCCACCACTGAAGGATTTCTTGCAAGCTTGTCTGCTCATGGTGAAAGAGCTGGGATATATGCTAGAGATCCCTGGGCAAAGGCAGAGCAAAGAGATGAAGGCAGAGTATGGGACAGCAGAAGAGGCTGGCCTTTATATTCCAGGACATTTGGCTTGGCAGGACCAGCGAGCAATTAGTGGAGAGTCATCTTGGGTTTGGTTCACCTTGCAGGCAATGTTATCTCTGGTTCTCAGCATACCTCAAATCTAATCCTCTGGACTAACATGGCTTTGCTTTCTTAATCACCCAAACTTGCCTTTGTGAACAGAAGACAAAGTTCTCTTCCTTCTCTTTGTATGATTTTCCTCAAGAGTCTCAAGGAACCCAAGGAAGCACCTAGTCCAGCAGGATGAACTGGCTTTAGACCCCCAAGAGTTGAGATGTTGGGTTCCATGACATGAAAGTCATTGAGTTCCAGAATTCAAATAGGCCAAGTCCTTTCCAGTGCTCACACTACTAACAGTGATTGTTGGGCACTGCCTACAGATGGCTCATTACCTGTGCCCAACCTTCAGAAGGCCCGGAGGCGAGAACTGTACTGACCCCATGGGGTCCCATCAACCACCAAGGCAGCCAAAAACTTTTTTTGTTCTTAATATATATATATTTTATTGTAAAGATACTGTATAGAGGTTACAGTTACATGAGCAAGGTAATGAGTCCATTTCCTATCAAACATTGTTACCCCCTCCTTTATTTTTCCCCACCATCCCTTTCCTCCCCAACTCCCCAACTCCTCCCCCCACAAAAGTTGTTGAGTTTTTTTTCAACATACTGTCTTGTATGTTACATTGTTACAAAAAATGGATCATCCTGTATCCTTATTTAAGTATTTTGTAATTTCCCTCCCCAAGTTAGAAATATGTACATACAAGACGCAGGGCACTGGAATCAAATACAGTGACAACAGGGGTTGTACCAAAGGAGAAGAACATACAAAGAAACAAAAAAAAAATCACATAGTACATTATAAGTACAATAAAAAGAACAAGAAAGTTAAAATCTCTTGTGTCCCTATCTTGAGGTTCATTTTGCTTAGCATCAGGTTATATGTGCACAGCTTTTTCTATCTAAGAAGATCTAGAGTTTGGGTGGAGAAATGCTGCTTGCAGGGAAATAGACATGTCTGGTCCCTAAGGAGCAGAGGCTCACAATATGTACCAAACAAGTATGAGGATTGGGAAGTAGAAAGGCACATGTTGGGGAAGGTCCCAGACAAAGCCCTGCGCCTGCCATGATAGACCAATAGCAGGGGAGTTCTGTATCCAGAAGCAAGAGGAGGCAGAATGGAAGCCAGCTAGTAAAGTCAGCTCCACAGTCCTACTCATCTTGGGATGAGAATGAGTGTCATGTCTAGGCCCTAACTCACATCTGGAGGTTATGTTCTTCTTCCTACACTCCCACCTTGTCTGATTGGTACCCCTTTCTGTGTTCCCGCCAATCCTCATTCTTCCCCCACATGGGCCTCTCCACCTGGCATCACCACGCTAGTCCCTGAGCTCCTCCAGAGAAGGGCTGAGAACTGCCCTGTCCTTTCTGACTGCCCAGCTTCTAGCACATCAGGGTACACACCCCTCAGATGTGTTAACTGCTAAGAATAGATGTCTAAGAACACAAATAGGGAGACCTATAACCCACCGTAGTCTTCGGAATGAACATCTGCAGAGGAAGACATTTATAATCCAGAAAGTTTAGGAAGCCCTTGTCTAGGCCACAGGAATCCCACCTGGGCCAGTGGTGGCGGGTTGAAGGCTCTTTAATGACAGAACAATGCACAGATGAATTACTGCTCTGATTTCCAGAAGTTCAACCGCTCCCCACCCCATACCATCCCACCTCCGCTCCCAGCCATGCTACATATGGCAAACTCTCTTGTTGCTGTCACCATGTGAGACTTTACAGGACATGAAGGAGCAAGGAGAGATGGACTCTAGATTCCCCACAAAACAAAGATCTGTTTCAGATATTTCACATGTTTCATCTCCAGATTTTTAGTCAAAATGGCAACTAGCACTGTCTCTGGATGGTGTCTATAAAAGTCCGTCTGGGGCTGGGCAGGTGGCTCAGTGGTAGAGCGCTTGCCTTGCATGCCTGAGGCCCTGGGTTCGATTCCTCAGCTTTTTTTTTTTCAAAAAAAGCCGGAAGTGGTGCTGTGGCTCAAGTGGTAGAGTGCTAGCCTTGAGCTGAAGAGCTGAGGGACAGTGCCCAGGCCCAGAGTTCAGGCCCCATGACCGGACCAAAAAAAAAAAAAAAAAAAAAAGCCATCTAGAGGATTGGTCTGAAAACTGAAGGACATGGAGTGGAGATGTCAAGTGCAATCCATCTGTCTCTTGAGCCCTTTGACCTTGAACAAGTTAACTTTTTTGTCATGAGGCTTGAACTCAGGGCCTCGGCACTGTCCCTGACCTCTTTTGCTCAAGGCTAGTGCTCTACCATTTTGAGCCACAGCTCCACTTCCAGTTTTTGAGTGGTTGATTGGAAAGATGTGTCTCAGGGACTTTCCTCCCCTGCTGGCTCCTCAGATCTCAGCCTCCTAAGTAGGTAGGATTACAGGCATGAGTCAGTCACCAGCACCTGGCTGTTACTTAACTTTATGCATCTGGTTTCATCAGTTCTGAAGCCGGTACTTCCATGGGACTGCTGTGAGCTTTGAACCAGCACTGTGGGATTAACTACTATTAGTACTCCCCCTGGGGTCACAGAAGAAATGTTACCTTGACTTTGACTGTTCTCAGGATCCCTTTGCACCCCTAAGAACTCACCAAGTAAGCATGATGGGGAGGCGGGGGTTGGGTTGGGAGGGGAGCTGGGAAGATAGCTCAGTGATAGAGTGCTTGCCTTGCATGCATGAGGCCCTGGGTTCAATTCCTCAGCACCACATAAGCAGAAAAGGCTGGAAATGGTGCTGTGGCTCAAGTGGCAGAGCATTATTCTTGAGCTGAAGAACTGAGGGACAGCGCTCAGGCCCAGAGTTCAGGCCCCACGACCAACTTTAAAAAAAAAATGGCATGGGGAAAAGAAGCTGAAAAGGAGAGGAGAGGAGGCTACCCACTGGAAGAGCTGGTGAGATGCAAACTAGATGGAGCTGGCTTGGATGACCTCAGGCCATGGTTGAACATGTCAGCTCTATGCTCTACTCTGTCAACCTGTTTTTGTGCCTTAGGAGCTTCATAGGGAGCTTCACAGCGTGTCATATGAGTGAAAGTCCTTTGAAAATTACCAAATAGCACACAAACAAGGTGGCTGTGGTCTAATAGAATGTCATCATAGAATTTGAGAAAGCTAATTTCAAATTCCATATCTCTCTCTCACCCTAAGGTGACCTGGGAGAAGATAGGTGATCTCTCTTCCCTTAGTTATAAAAGGAGACACTACTTGTGGAATTGTTCTGCAATTTAAACACATAGAATCCTTCTATGCATGGCTTTTTAAATCATTGACCATCCATAGGAATGCACACAGAAGACATTTACTCCCACTTGTCAATTGAATGCCAGATACTTCTGGTAAGGTCTTTACTTATATTCTCTGGGATTCATTTAAAAGCAAATCAAATGCTTTGTCTAGGAAGACAGCCTGGCTGGGTATCCCTGACACCCAACCCAACCTGGGGGAGAAAGCAAACAAAGACAGACATGAATGTCTCTGAGTCCTTACTCTTCCCTGGGCTCCAATGAGTGGTAGCTCTTAAGTGTAGCCATGGCTGCCACCCTGGCATGTATAGGATCATCACAAAAGCCCATGTTTGGGTTGAGATCCCCCAGTTCATGCTGCCTTTGCCTGCCAAAGCACTGCCTTACTGAGAGGCCAGGGTTGTTTTTTCAGCAGCTGGATAAATTTCAGGAAACACGTTAAGTTGCCAATCTCTTCAAGATTTCCCTCACTCACAGAAGGATCTTGTAGAAGAGTGGTGTCTACATGAGCTGCCTGCTACTAGCCATCTGAATTCTAATCCCTCACCTTCTAGAACCATCTGCAGGAAAATTTACAGATGACTAAGTACTCTGGAATCTCACTTCCCCACCCATAAAACAAGAGAGATTGTCATCAAGTAGAGTTATGTCCCCTGTTAAATCTTTCTCTGGTATTTATCTGAAGCTTAAGAATTGTCAGTATAATTGTGAGTGGAGGCATGAATCAGTAGTCTTTACTTCTAGGTTAAGATGAGAAGATAGCCCTCTCTACCCAGGGTCTGCTGAGGATGAGGATGTGACAGTTGGTTTTTTATTTGTTTGTTTGTTTGTTTGTTTTTTGGGGGTCCAGTCGTGGGGCTTGAACTCTGGGCCTGGGCGCTGTCCCTCAGCTCTTCAGCTCAAGGCTAGAGCTCTACCATTTGAGCCACAGCACCACTTCTGGCTTTTTTTTCTGCTTATGTGGTATTGAGGAATCGAATCCAGAGCTTCATGCATGCAAGGCAAGCGCTCTACCACTGAGCCACCTTCCCAACCCAACAGTTGTTGTTATGTACAGAAACATTATTGATGTGAGAAAGGGAAAGGAAAGGGGAAAAGAGGAAGGGAGAGAAGGGAGGAAAAAGGGAAGAAATGAGGGAAGGAGAGAGGACCTGTGTGATCCCACTCACTCAAGAATCTGAGGCTGGATGGGGCTGGGAAGGTGGCTCAGTGGTAGAGCGCTTGCCTTGCATGCCTGAGGCCCTGGGTTTGATTCCTCAGCACCACATAAGCAAAAAAAAAAAAAAAAAGCCGGAAGTGACTCTGTGGCTCAAATGGTAGAGCACTAGCCTTGAGCTGAAGAGCTGAGGGACAGTGCCCAAGCCCAGAGTTCAGGCCCCATGATTGGACCCAAAAAAAAAAAAAAAAGAATCTGAGGCTGGAGACTTATGAATTTGAGTCCAGCTAAGGCAAGGAGAATTAAACCCTTTTTCAAAAACAAAAGAGCTGGAATCCTAGTTCAAGCAGGACTGCACTAGCCTAGCAGCTTTGGACTCCAGGTTTAATCCTTAATACCAGAAATGAGACAGAGACAGAGACAAAGAGAG